GTTTTTGAGGCTGCTTAAATGTTATTTTCATCCTGCGCAGATTCAAACATTTGCAATAAGACAGCGAGTGCAAGCAGCTGGTATAAGAACTTGTATGTTAGTTTACTAAACATGTTGACTTTGTAGAAGTGTCCACTATTTACGCCACCAAAATATGAGATGTGTATCTCATCCTCAACAGGTTGATGTAGTACGCATAAAGTGGCAGTAGACACAAGTGGAATCATCCAAGGAGTGCAAGCCTGTTTTTGCAGTATGATCAACTGAACCAAAAATGTTGTTTACTTATATAACCTTGTATACTAGACGAGCTAATAGTACATTTAACCCACGGTGATCGGCCAGTTAAGAGGTGACTAGGAAGTACTGTTCACCCACGAGCAGCTAAAGACCTGAACTGACCCTGCCATAAATGCGAGCAGGAAAAATGGAAACGACGTTCCATGTTTCCTAAACCTATAACTGAGATTCTGTAGAGGTATTGGAGAGATATTAAGCTGAGAATGATAACTGTGAAATAATCAACGCCAAAAGTAGGATTGTTGTTCTTTCAAATTTATTTGACTTTTGCTTTTTTGGAATGGGACAGGAGTGCATATTAAGTTTTTTCCCTTTGTTTTTGTAACAACTGTTTTTCTTTCGTTTAATTTACATATTAGTTTTAATAAAGACTTTTTCTTTGTGTAATAACCTCGTTGAATAAGTAGAATGTAGTTTTTGAATCATTCCAGTGTCTTAAAAATTCTAGAAACGCAAATTTCAATTCGCAAACTAACGACCAGAACTTATCCTTACTTAACTTACCTTAACTTATCCTTACTTAGCTTACTTAATTCCATCGCGTGTTAATTCAGGTGGCAAAGTCCAGAGAGGCAACAATCAATCAAGGAGCCGTCTTTAAAATACCATCCTTTTTTCTCGTTCAATGCATTTTCACTTATTCGAGATCGCAATATATCTTTGGCTGGAGTCTATTGGAGATACGAAAGAGTTTCAATTTGCTTTCGTTGTGAAATTATGTGAAATTATATTTTTGAGGCAACTAACTATGGAAGAAAAATGTTGATTTTCTCTCTGTCTGAAGAACTGCAGTAAGTGTAGTCTCTTTCTCAACCGTTATTTGGTCTCGTCACGCAACGCACTCTCTCTCTCTGACGAGGAATGGAGGGCGTTGTGTGAACACAGAGTGTCCCATGTCAACCATCCCAGCCAAAATAATACCTCTTGCATGATATGTATGTCTGTCTTTCTCTTTTTGGCAGGCAGGACATCAATTAAATTCCAACTCAGTAATGACTACTTTTTAAACGAGAAAATGTATCTACGCCTTCTGGTGACATATGAGAACTGAGTTAACCCTTATTAACCACGCTATTGAGTATTGGTTGCTATGTCGATCAAAATGTCCACCATCGAATTGGACGGAGGATGGTCATTTTATTATGTTCACTGCACATTGAAATTAGCCCCTACAACTTTACAGTTCAAACGATCGCATATTGAAATAGAATACAATAAACATAAAATTGATTCCCCTATGAGAAGAACAAATAAGTTTGTAAGTCTCTTGTATTTGCTTTATAAAGCGAAAATTGGGATGTATCTTAACTGAAATGAGTCATTAGCTCTTCACAAAAGATAACGCAATTCACATCATCACGCGTTATTATCTAACAAAGCTATTGAACTGACGATTATTTTCAATTGGTATGCACCATCACTTTATTCAATCGAAAAGATAAATCAGCTACATGAAAATAACTTATAATTGAAAGTTCCATTGCTTTGTTGCTCGTATTAGTGATAATAACAGAACTATCTGTAAGTTTGCTCTCCCCACAAGGTTAAAAGTAAGACGTGTATATCGTGAAAACGTTCATTGAGATTGTTTCAAACATATTTTCATTTATGCAAAGGTAAGTGTAAACTTAATCCTGACTGTCAGAGGGTTTATATAAATTACGTCGTGAGTATCACAAACGTCAGCAAAGAATGTCTTTATCACGCCTAAGCACCTCTGGTACCTTTAAGTTTACTAAAAACTGTAACAATAATAATAATAATAATAATAATAATAATAATAATAATAACACAAAAAGACGAAACAAAAAGAAACTTTCCCTTGGAAATCATATAAGCTGCTCTCAAAATTGCACTATTATCACTACCAAACACGCCCCGTTCGCCATTATTGAACTGCTTGTATATGAAAGTCCCCTCGTATTCACCCCTTGGCTTCCCTTTTCCCCATTTGCAAATACCCTTTTCCCCATTTGCAAATAGTCAGCGTTCTTCCACTCACCCAGCTCCAATTCCCGGCCTTTTTTTTTTTTTATTGTCATAATTTGTAGTATTTCGCCTTTGAATCTCATCATTGATGAAATTCCATTCCTCCTCGGTTTCAATGGAAACTAGGTCCCCTCCCAGCCTTTGTTCCAGAGCAGCCAGGACCATCCATATACCGAAATTATGTACCAGAAGTTTTTAAAAGTAATATTTAGGCATTCTACAAAATGATACAAAAGTAGTAATTATCACAACGATGATAAACAAACTGATAGTGATGATAATTTTGATAATATAAAAAGATTATAATCACAATCACAGTAAAGGAGAAAAATAAATGACATAGGAAACGTAACTTCCTCTCTATTTGATTCCTTTTTTTTAATATTATGTTTGATAAGTGTCAATTAATGGAATACATCTTTGTTCACTACGGAGTCCGCTATCTCTGATCTGCTTTTCTTAATTAGTTAACTTCACATGAGCTAAGATTATCATTGAGTTCATGTAATTTTGGTAGTTGAGTTTTTGAATAATAAATTAGTTCCTCGCTTAGCTGGCACACCTTCCCCATCCCGTCCCCTAATAATAATAATAATAATAATAATAATAATAGGAATTACACCTTTAGCCGGGGTAAACCCGCCAGCAATTGCTGATATCAAAAGGTGCCCAATTCCTCCCCTCCCATCTAATCAGACTTAAAAAAACGTAAAATTAAATGTGAATGTAAGTTCTCATAAAATTAATGTGCAACTGGAGACACGCAATTAACCGTATATAGTTGTTACGGGAAAGGTGGTTGTAAAAAAGAGTAAAAATTTTAAAGCACACGCTACAATCTCAAAAGATTATCTGGGTGATGGTACTCGATATGGACATAAAAATTAAAGATAAACTAATTAGGGTTGGCTGGTTTTTTCTTTTCGATTTCCACGCAGTTTAAATTGTTATTGTCAACCTTGTAAATTAAATAGGTTGATTAAACCTGTGATGCCTCCTCCTTAAAGTGACATTTTCCTAGATTTCCCCGAATTCCTGAGGTCAAGTCTAACCATGACCTATAGGCTACCGGTAACATCTTTCGGGGTTATCGCTTGCACTTCCGACACGCTTTTTCTGACAACTTTTGTCGAAAGAACTGTATTTATTATTTGGTTTGGGCAAGGTATCGCTCGCACAAGTCTCCGACTACATCCCTAGCTTCGTTGCCAGTTTTTTTTTTTAAATAAATACACTTCGTTTTGCTGGCTGGGCGGTATTTTTAAGCAAATAATTTAAAAGCAAATCAAGTCGATTGATAACTTATCAATCCTCAGTTTCTCTATCTCAAATCCCTTTGGTTGCAAGCTTAAACATTGGTTTTGAAATGAATTTTGGTAGCAAATATGCCATTAAATGGGTTTACACCACAACATAAAAGAGAAATTAAATTAAAAGAGAAATATATTTTAACTGTCCATGACGTCCAACTTGGCTAGCGGTCAGCAGTCATCTACGCTGAGTGTTAATAAGTGAACAATAATTTGAAAGCTAAAACGGTTTGGGTTCCGCCTCATCCGAAAGCTCTCGGTGAACCTTTAGGCTGGAACTCATCGTACATGACCCTGGAATGGGGAACACCAGGCGTTGAGTAATATCATCGCCAGTGATACTCGTAGAATAAGAGAATCGTAGTCTATTAAGCATGACTAATAAGAGGACTTCATTGAAAGCCAACGACAAAATTTTTTTAATTAAGCTTACATGGCGTTTTAACTTGCGATGAGAAAGGAAATAGTACACCAATTCAACCATTTTTTCCCCATCAATTCCCGGATCGAATGTTAAACTTCGTATCCGTCTAACTTAATGCCATTTTAAGTAGACCCTGATGATAAAGTTCGATTTCTTGTCTAAGCACATCGAACGTTCAGCAGCTATCTGAAGAGGAGACGTGTTTTCCCTTTTGACATCTTGTCATAGTGGCATAAAACGATAGCAATTAAGCTATCATAAATATGGCTGCCAAAGCTGTTGTGTAGACAACACGACGCAAACAACGTGACCACCGCATGAATGTCTTGCTTGTGCTATTTGCTTTCTGATTTCTTCGCCCGGTATGAAGGGCTTCAGGAATCCAATTTATAAGAGATCCTTCTCTAATTAAAAAAAAATTTCTGGTGGCGGTTATTTGGCACTCTTAATTAAAACAATACACCAGACTCTGAAGATGTCTACATAGAAACCTCCAGTTTATAATAAGAGAAGGATCTCTCAGTTTTTTCCCTTTAAATTGTATACTCTGTGTAAAAGTTCTTTAGTCGTTGTTTAATGATGTGTGCCAAATAGTTTATAATCTCTTAATTTATGCCATTTCCGGCTAACATTGCCCCAATTGTATTTTCGACTCGTTATCTTAGGAATTGGAAAGATCCAGTCGTGAGGGATTTTTCCTGTTCTTTTAAATTAGTTGTTTATTTATTCAAATATTTACGCATTCATCTATTTATTCATTAAGCAAACGGAAAGAACACTTTTTTCAAGCAAACCCATCTACTTTATTAAACAACTTGTAATATTCTTGACGAGGAGCGGTTCCAAAAGGAAGTTTAGCATTTCTCCTTACAAAAATTCCGAAAAGCTTACAACACAACTATATTGGTAATGTTACATCATCGCTATGTAACCTGATAAAATGCACCAGAAAGTTCTTTGGTATGCATTTCCGCATGACTAGACATTCTCAAAATTTCTAGAAACTTATAGTTTCAGTTATTTTCACAGCTTATTGTTACAAGTAATGACAGTGTTTAGTAAGAGGAAACATCGAATATGAAATAATCATGTAGCAAAGCAGAAAGTTAGCGCGCAATAATCTAAGGATAAATATGTTCAATGAAAGCTACGCACCAGAGTACTTTTTAAAGAAAGAAGTGTCGTGATCTCTTGGTGTAAATTCCCGCCTCGTCTGTAGCAGACTGTGGTCTCATTCGCGGGGCAGTCATCAGCATAGTGAGCCATTATAAATTTAAATTTATAGATTGGTTTATTTCGATAAATTTTTCCTGCAAATATGCGATCGCCTAGAAAATAATCTCATAATCATAGAGAAGATAGGTTACATTTACAGCTAGTTGAGTGCTTAAACAATATTGAAAAGAAAGACCTCTTTTTACCTGCAGATCTTAAGTCAGATAGATCCTTACCGACCTATTGCTGTTAACTAAGTGATTTTACTAAGTAATTGACCGTCATTTCCGGTCGGCTGGATCCAGTTAATTAAGTTAAGTGCGATTTCGATTCAAACTCAGCACGACTGCAATTCAACCGCCCATACATCCCCAGCCTCACTTGGATTGACCTGTGAGCTCATTGTTGTGGAGTTGTTCTTTACAGAGGATGGAAAAACGATATTCATCTTTCTTTTGAAACGCTCTCTGATCTGCAGATAGATGAGCAACACGAAATACAGTTCTTAGCACTAGTAGTCGGATATCTATCGAAACACTAAAGACTGATGATATGGAGTTAATAAACTTTTTCATGTTTTTTCTTACCTGAGTGTTTCGCATACTATGTAGAGCGAAAATTAGGAAACCCTGCAGCATAAAAATGATTTTAAGATCACTAATTTTTACAATATGCAAACAAATTAGTCAAATACCTATTAGGATTTCCAGGAAGGAAAGAAAATGTCATATCTTATGATTAAAAAAGAAGCCTGTCTTTTTCTGCATAATTAATAGCATTTTTGTTTTCAAAATTCCAAAAAATATCTTGTGACAATTGTAATGGTGTCTCACTTGGTTAGAATGTAAAATAATGATAGAGATTGAATAATTTTGAGAGTTACCATCGAACACTGACCTGAGAAGAGTTAAGTATGGTGAAGATGTAAACGAAAGCTTTATGTACAGGCGAGAGGAGACCAAATAGCCACGTGACGCCCAGCAGGGGAATCATCACCACGCATGCTTTAATGCCAATTCTACGAATTAAAAAGAAAACATTTCTTTATTTTCCTTTGACAATGAATTTTCTGTTTTAGGTATCGTAAGACGTTACTAATTAGGAAATGAGGAAGTTAGGCGAATAGAGCCTCGCAGGAGGGCAGGCCAACTTCTTGCACTATTTTGCTTTAGTTTTATGTTGTGAATGTTACCGTATCTTCTGGGAATGGTCGTCTTCTCCTGTTGGCTGCAACAAGTTTGTCATCTCCTTTATGACTCGTGCGAGTATCAAGATGTTGAGCTGAAAAATACAATATAAATAAATGTATTATTTGGATATGGTTATCGAATAGCCAAAGCAGGAGAGGATCCTTGCCAAAGACGTTACTAGCTTGGTAACAAACGTGGGATGAAGTGTCATTTACAGGGAATAGAACTCCCAACCGGGGGACCTAGACTATGAGCTTTGATTCTCTTAAAATGAGCAAAAGAAATCGTGAACTGAAGTGTCTGAATGATCTATGTAAAGTTAATCCTCATGTTAAATTACATAAATTTAATATCTCTTGCTCACTGCTCCCTGCTCCTTTAATCTTGTTCAGTGTTTTTAAGAGTTTTTTTTTGCGCAAAAAACATATCTTGTTATATCAATGTGTAAGAAAACATCAGCAAGGAAGGGGAATAATTTTTTTTTTCTCATACCACTTAGTTAAAGTTGGAGAATTTATGAAGCTATCTTTTTTCTATGAAGACATTGTGTCAACAGGTTTTACTTGCTATTGAAGGCCATCACTAGGTTAGAATTGACCAGCATCCTCGCAAATAGCAGTTACGTCCAAAGTTTTTTTGTGAGTAAATAGGAAAAGGAAAATGATAAATATTGTGTGGGGTCATATCATAAATACTTAATTCGTTTTTTAAAAACTCACAACTTCAATGAAAGCCACAAAGGCGACGAATATCCAGATCAGGTTGTTAGTCGAGGAAAGCCAGCAGCTAAACTCGAAGAAGTGAAACACAAGAAAGAAACACGAATTCTCAGCAAATTGAATGATACCGACTTCAAACTATATGCAAAAACAAAACAGAGAATCAAATGCAACAAATTAAAAGGAGAAGAGCAAGAAGAAACCCTTGAATTTTTTTTCTTACTGTTTATCACTCGTATAGCTTTGTAACCCTTCTTTTCCAGCAGCGATGCCAAGTGACATGGCCACCATGATCAGTGGAAGACCTGCCCATAAAGAAAGGAAGGAAATGGAAACAGTTCATTGCATGGCAACACCAGATTTGGCGATCCGAAAGCATGGTTACAGTTACCAGTGTATGTTTTAAAATAATAAACTCACCCCATGAGATGACGTGATACATGTACATCTTGGTGTTAATGTTGTAAACTTTTACAACGAAGAAGTAGAGATAAATTCCCTCGATCAGCATCCAACAGAAAGCAGTCATCAAGAAATACTGCATCAGAGCTGCTATTGTAATACAGGCAGCCTGTAAAAAGAAAGAGTTTCAGTGTAATTCTAAACGTGCTCCTTTCGACAGGATAATTAGGGTGCAAAGAGGAAATTGCTTCTATGGATAGAAGGAGAGGCCACTTACTTTGTTTTCAGTGGCGTTTATTCCGGCTAGGAAGATGATCTGTCCAGCTCCAAGGGACATAGAAACACTCAGTCGAATTTGAGAGAGAGGTTGACGAACATCTCTGGTGAAATAATGTTAAAAACGCAAAGAATAATCGAGACAAAAGCAACAACAACAATAACAACAACACACTGAAGACACCAAGAACAACAAAACAAAACAAAATTGAGTTAAAAGACTCAGAAAAATATGGCTAAAAATTATTTACATCTTGACAGCAAAGAAAAGAAAAAAGTCAGTAAATAGCTTCAGAAAGGACAAAACAGGAAAATATTACGAAGAATATGTCTAAGCCCTAAACAATTCATCACACCGTGAAACCATGAGTTGCTTAAGCGTTTGTGATGGGGCATGAAATGTAGCTTGAATTTGTGAATTATCTGACATGCATATTCTTGTTTGCATGGAGATTTGCACTGAGATCTCCTTTCTCACCAGCCTTGTCGAGGGGAGTTAAGAATCTACCTAATTATTATTCAGGTACATTGCTTACGTGAGGCAAGAATAAAGTATTAATGTTACAAGTATCCCGACGATGGAAAGGCTCAGTCCCACATAGGTGATAATTTTCAGAATTGTTTCCTCCTCCTCGGTGAGCTGTGTCAAAAAAAGAAAAATTAAAGGACAATATTGAGTTAGTTCATCGAGCCTATAAAATTATTCAGTAAGGCAAATATAATATTATCACCTTTGTGCTACCGTCGTAGTCCATTAAGACGGCAAAATGCGTGAAATGTTTGCAGCTGCAAACTGTTTCTTCTGAGTTGCTTTTTGATATAACTACATGACATCCTTCCTCTGAAAAGCTGTCAGACATGAAAAAAAAGTAAAGTTAACATAGGACACAAAATGATTCATTGTTTGGGGAAGACGATATGTTTCACAATTTTGCACTAAGGTTTTCTTCCATTGTCGTCTTGGTTGCGAGAACATTTCAATCAGACTTCCGCTCTCTAAAAGGACAACATGTTGGCTTCAAGGAAAGTGTTAATCTGCACAAAAACATCTGAGAAAGTTCATTCATTCTCCTCCATACTAAATTTAATTGAAGAAGGAATAAATATTATACAATAATATATTGCAGTTTTTTTACCTTTTGCTGAGGTTACTCCAAAACATACAGCGTTTCTCCGCTTCCAAGACCTGAAAATAGATTTTATCTTGTCAGAATAAATCAAAGCAACGTATAGCAACAAATTGTCATGTTACCTTTAGGTTTTTGAACTTTAGGGTGACATTTTCTCTCAATGTTTCTGGCTTGGGGTCCATAGTTACGGCCATTATCCTGGAGTTGATATTCCTATGAAGAAATTGTATTTGAAAATGGACCAAAACCAAGGAAGCAACATTACGTCATTTTGGTAGATTCAAGCGGATTTTTTTATGAAGGTGGAATGGTCAGAGACAAGCAGGGAGTCTTCCAACCTTCGTTAGGGTTTTTGGAAAGTTTCTAAGTTCAGGTTAGTTGAACTTAGATCTTATGTGTTTCCGTGTTACGTGTTTTTGGAGGTAAACGACATGAAGTAATGCGAAAATAACGTCACCTTTGGTTGTCTGTTTTACTCCTGATGGCTTGATCTGTTAGGAGTAGGTCATGCAGATCCTTGTACACAAACGCCACTGCCAATGATCCTTTAAACCCCCCAAGAATCAGCAAAAAGTGTTTTCAAACAAGAACAAAAATACTCACAAAATTCAAATTTTATCAGGCTCTGAGGTATGTGACATTAGAAGGAAGGCGAATGATTAAAGAAGATAGACTATGTAAACTAAGGAAGCGCATTTATATGAGGCTTTATTTCAGTAGAGAAATTTCGATTGGAGAAACCAAGGTAATACTAAAAGTTGTAAAGTTACCACAATAGTTAATACGAACCATTTTCCTCAAAATTTGAAGAAGCGATATTGATCCTCGCTTGCCATTGTTGTTCCTCAAAGTGGAAACCACTTTTATTCTGGCGATAGGCCTTTTGAATGGCCAACACTGTCGGAAAAAACGACAAATGAAAGCACTTACGATGAAATTTACAAGAGCATATCTACACAAACATGCGTTTTGCGGTGCACACAAATATTTCATAATCTTATTGGATGGATATTTATCGTCGACATCTTATTTGCCCTTCAACGACTATTCGACGATTTCAACCATTTTACGACGTTTATTCAATGTAAAACTGATGAAAAAGTGAGTAGTTCTGGACGGACTGGTGTTGTCAAAACGCAATTCGCTCCTCGAACTATTTCGTTGGAGAACTATAGAGTTCATTAGGGAGTTTTTACGAGTAGGGTTAAAAATCTTGCATTTATATGCATCGCAAACGACAGGCCAATTTTGAGCTCAGTGTATAGTATGAAGTAAGCGGAAAGTATTTGTAGGATTTGACAATTTCAGTTAGTAAAGTGTTACTCACCAATCTATTATTTAAGAAAAGTTTCAATAAACAGAGTGAGAAGAACGGTTTCACAATTTGAAGGATTCTAGTTCGCTATTGTTGATTGTTCAAGAATACCTTGAATTTCTTTCTCCACCGCAAAAATCAAAGTATTAAAGAAATTACAGGAACAGATGAATCGATGACATCGAACAATAGCGATTCTAATAGGTTGGGCTTATAACTGAGTCCTTACATCATCTAGGAAATTTGACAACGCAGTCGGTCAGTCAGCAAGTCTGTAAGTAATAAAGGAATAGACTTTGAAAATAAACAGGATTCAAGGCCGCAAGCTCACCCATTTTTGAGGAAACGATCCTTTTTGAAGGTCTCATTCCACTCAGGTGTCGTTTGCTATAATTAAGAGCAAATTTCTCGACGGCCTCTGCCACCTTAAAGATGGATTTTTTCAGAGTTTTAACCTCTTCTATATCGGCCTTGTTTTTTGTGACGTTCTTGATTTTGAAGGTGAAATCTTCAAACACAGTTACAGCCTCCTACAATTACATAAAATATTTCCAGGTCATTAACCAGCCAGTCTCAAATGTACAATAAATATTAAGAACGCGGAAAAAGTCTAGCAGGAGGCCCCAAATGGTGTCCAGGGTATTCATTGGCTAAAGAACTCTTTTAGGAGCCTGGATTATTTTTTAAGCCTCGTCATTTTCACCTCATATGGCTAGAATGATGGTTTTTCCTGTAAGGTCAGATATTTAGTTTTTATGGTTTGAAAACATATATCAAAGTTAAAAATCCTTTGAGTTGCAGAAACTAAATACCTGCATGGAAGTCCTTTCGGTAATATTTATTCCGCCAAATTTTGAAACATACTCCTTTGCCTAAAATTAAAAAAAAGAAATGACTGTCACATTATCAAACAGATAAAAACCCTTGAAAGTGAGATGCATAAAAAGGGTAAATGACTGTTATGAAAACATACCAGCAGCTCAACTGGCGATGGCGATGGCGATGGCGATGGCGATGGCGATGGCGATGGCGATGGCGATGGCGATGGCGATGGCGATGGCGATGGCGATGGCGATGGCGATGGCGATGGCGATGGCGATGGCGATGGCGATGGCGATGGCGATGGCGATGGCGATGGCGATGGCGATGGCGATGGCGATGGCGATGGCGATGGCGAGGTTGCAAATGATGAATCTTCAACGACGCCCTCGCCCTTGCCCCCGCCCTCGCCTCCAAATGATGACTCTTCAAAGAAAAATGTTGATCATGACTACATCAGAAGGCACGGTAACGAATCCTGCAATCTGATTAGTTCTTTACCCGGTCAGTATTTTCCTATCTCTGCCCACGGGCAACGATAACGCTTTCGAGAGTCCATGGGTACATCCCTACTTTCGTTGACATTTTTCATAAATAAATCTCGTTTTTCCGGATGTGTAGTATTTTTGAGCAAAGACGTCGGTCAACACTGCAAGCTGATAAATATCTAATTAATCCTTTCTTTTTTCTCTCTCTCAAATCACTTTTGTTGACAGAAAAATATTGGTTTCAGAATGAATTTGTCTAAACAGCAGTGTCATGACGTTGGTTGACAAGCGGCCTAAAAACCGTCTGCAATTAATATTAATCGTTCACAGAAAGTACCTAGAAAGTCAAAACGAGATGTATATGGTTACATTTGGTTAATTCATTTAGTATCTGAATTTTCTCAAACGATTTGTTCGTAGTGAAAGGGCGAGCGAAATTAAAATTTCAGTCCTACAACAAATATTCGCTTTCGGTGAGTCTTTCCAAGTCCGTTCAATTTGGACATTTGTACCGTAAACTGCACAACAGAAACTGAAGGAATTCAACGAGAAAAGGCCACATTAGATCCCCTTGTGTTTGGTTGGAGTGTTTCATTCGAATTAAGTTTTTACAGAGGAAAAACTAGATTTACACACGCCATTGTAGGAAACAAAGGAGCAAACTCTCACAACTTTCAAAACAAAAAAATTGAATTTGCCTACAAATGCTTTCCTCGCCGTTTACTTAATGAGCAGAGGTAAATCTTCGTACATGAATTGATTGCCGATGAGAGTGAATAATACTTTCCGGAAGATCATTGTCGTGACAGCCTTTGCCAAACTAGTTTCGTTGTTTTTCAAAAGTGTACATGCGCTTTTCCTTTTCTTACGCGCCCTCTAATTGACAGATGTCAGGTTGTGACAGAAACTTGAAGAAATAATGTTTCAAAGTTTGTTTGGAAGCCTTTTAAATCATCTTTATCGTTACGCAAATGGAAATCACCATGTTTCGGTGAAGATCTCTCTTTAATTTGCATCACCTCTATTCTAACTACTGTTGACTCGCTCAAAAATTGCTCAGCTTAAGGAAGATCTTGCCGTATTCAGAGCCCTAAATCATTTGGGTTCTTTCGGAAAGAATTTCTTTAAGTTTAAAAAAAAATCTATTTACTGGCTATTTACCGACGGCCTCGGGCAGCATTTTCAGCACCGAGGTCTTGTGTATCAGATAGAGTACTTGATCTTTGCCTGGAGCCGATCAACATAAATTCAGTTTTTGTAGCGTTTAAGGTAAGTCTGTCAGTCACAAGCCATCTGCTTAGCTTTTCAAGGTCGTGAGATAGACTAGACTGAATCAAATGCAAATCAGAACCAGCATAAGTAGTGTGGGTGTCATCAGCATACATTCTAGGTATGCTGAACGAAAGACAGTTAGACAAATCGTTAATATAAATTAGATATAAAAGAGGGCTAAGGATCGTTTTCCGTGGCACACCACATATAAGAGTGGTGAGGTCAGAGAGACAACTGTTAACTGAGCACCGTTGTGTACAATTTGTCAAATACAATTTAAACCAATCAAGAGTTTTACCTTGAATTCCACACCGATTCATTTTAATTAATAATGAAGAAATGTAAAATGGTTTCCGTGTTTACATAGCCTGATGTAAACACGCGGGAGGTTGGGAGAACACGAGATAAGCTTAGGAAACCACGACGCGAAGCGGAGTGATTTCCAGCTTATCGAGTGTTCTCCCAACCTCCCAATTGTTTACATAATGCTATATAAACACGGAAACCATTTTACATTTCTTTTATAAAATAACTAATGAAAGAGGAACGAAAACCGTGTTTACTTACACTCATGTAAAATGGTTTTAGGGCCAATCAGAGCGCGCGTACCATTTGAATTATTTTATGATATCTCATGATCAACAGTGTAGAATGCCTTTCTTTAAGTCGAGAAACACTACGGCATTGACGTAGCCATGATCGATTAAACGCCCAACTGTCAGTGGCTTCTAGAAGTGCAGTAACAGTTAAGTGTAGAGACCGGAAACCAGATTATTTTAGAGATGATTTCTTCACTATTTAAGAAGTTGTATAACTGATCGTACGCAATCCTCTCGGACACTTTGGCGAGTACGGAAATGACTGAGGCAGGTCAGTAGTTGTTTAAGTCGGATGACTCGCCCTGTTTAAACAACGGAGTTACTCTGGCACATTTCCAGTCGTCAGGAAATATGCCAGACATCATGGATTTATCAAACAGATCGTATAACGGGCCTTAAATAATATCAGCACACTCACGAATCAACCTAGCAGAGATATTGTCTAGTCCTGTAGCTTTAGTTTTTGACAATCTATTTAGATGGGTAAAGACATCACTGGTAGTAGTTGGACGAAAACAAAATTTGTTGCAATTTTCAGCAATATTTTCTTAATAAATAGACTCCTCGTCCGAAGTTTAGGATATGTCACGGGCTAGCCTGGGCCCAATAGTTGAAAAGTGTTCGTTAAAAGGCGTTGGGAATCTCGTTAAAGTTACAGATAGATATGACAAATACTTTCACATCCTTTACTATCTGATTGTTCTGACGACGAGACATGCAGTTGTTAATAGCTTTCCAAGTCCTTTGAGAATTTCCTTTGGATTTAATGAAACTATTATGATAATAGGATGCCTTTGTGGTTTTCACTTTATTATTGATTCGATTTCGGAGCTTTCTGTAATCACCTCAGTCTTGAGGATTCTTTGTTTTTATTGCTTTCCTTTTAGCTTTCCAAATTGCTCTGTTCCGAGCAACACTACTATTCAAGTTAAGCGCTGCTTTGCACCTGCCCCGGAAATAATGAATGACCACGTTATAGAGTAATGGTTGCTAGGTCGATCGAAATGCCCGCCATATTCGAATTAGATGCAGACGATCCGTTTATTACGC